AAGAATGAAATTATGGCATTTGCTGGTAAATGGATGAAGTTGAAGAATGTCATGCTAAAAGAAATAAGCCAATCCCCCAAAACAAAGGTCGAATGTTTTCTCTGATATGTGAATGCTAATTCACAATAAGGAGGGCGGGGGTGCTAGGGAAGAACAGAGTTCTTCTAGGTAGAGGGGAGTGAAGGGAGGGGAGGAGATATGGGGATAAGAAAGACAGTAGAATAAAACAGACGTTATTACCTTATGTATATATATGACTGCATGATTGTATAATATATACAATCAGAAAAATGAGAAATTATATCCCATCAATGTATGATATATCAAAGTGCATAAATGCATTCCATTGTCATATATAACTAATTAAAACAAAGTGAAAAAATAAAAAAKAAAAAAGACTGAGGATGTAGTTCAGAGRTAGAGTGTTCCTGGATTCAAACCCCTGTACTGAAGAAAAACAAAAAAGAGAAAGAGGAGAAGTGGGAGGAGGGGGAAAAGAAATTATCAGTATTCTGTTCATGAACATGAAGACTGATGTTTAGAGATATCACACAGGTAGTAAGGGATGGATTTGGAAATTCCAAACTCAAGCCAACCTATCAAAGCCAATATTACCTTGTACCAGGTTCCTTTCACTGGCGAGTTAATAAAGAATGTCTTCTCCCTCAATAATATTCTTTAAATAACTCTGTATTAATCAGACTTATCTCCTTAGCTTTCCTTTACAATATAAATACATCAATTTTCTTTGGCTTATGTCATAAACGCTCCTTAATTTTCCTTTTTCACTATTCAATGGATTCTTAGATCCCTTTAATTTTATCAAATTTCTCCTAAGACATTAACAGAACAGTAAGTCAATGCTAGATTATCTTCTCGATCATGCCCATTATGTATTTGCATGTAGAGTGCTGATTTTAAAATATGGTCTGATTTTAGTACAGATTAAAAAAATGTTAGGTTGGTTTAGTGCTGAGTAGAGTATTGATTTAAAAAATGATATATAAGCAATGTCATTTTGAAAACAAATCAGCATTAAACTACTTATTTGTACTAGAATATGTGCTAAATTTAATTTCTTTTTAACAATTGAATTTTAAAAATGTCTTAATTCTTTTTGCATACTATAATATAAAGTTTCAACTGTTTTCTTTCTTTCACTGAATGGCAAAGCAACCCTTAATTTTATTCTGGTCTTCTCAGACATAAACAAAAATATATCTGAGAATTCAAACTAACATATAAATCAAACTGGGGTTTAAAAGGTAGCAACAAGAGAGTCTAGTTGAGTGGCAGAGGGCACCTTACTAGCATGTGCAAGGTTCAAGGTTCAACTCTAGCACCACTACCAAAAAAAAAGTAGGAAGACAAAATTAGAATACAATAAAACCTAACAGAAAAAACAGACAAAACCTCAGGTTTAGTCAAAACATATATGAATAAAATCCATTCCAGAGAAGTGGAACTTCAAGGAAATTTAAGTAATTAGAAACCCAAAGGAAGGGAAAAACCAACATTTTTACAAATCAACTGACATGCCTCTGGTGGATATTCACCAATGTGATTCACCTGTAGTGTGGTGGGGGGAGCTGCTGAATGACATCATGAATTTTTATCAGCCTTTCTTCATCTGTTGCTGCTGAAACGGCATCCTGTAACAACAGTTCATAACAGAATAAACCAGTAGGTTTTGCTGGTAAAAATTAGAGTTCTTCATTTATCATTCTGTTTTTCCTCTGAGATTATAAGATTAACTCACTTTATTCTTTGATGCTAAATGACAAGGAAACACAATAGAGCCTGAAGGATGCAAACTTGGTTTTCACACAATGTCAACACTGGAATCTACTAAATCATAATGCTTAAAAACACAGGTGGTAAGGTCAGTGGCTCAAAATCAGAACTAAAAGAATGATAATGTGAAATCAGCAATCATCACCACAGACTAGCTGGCAATAATTGGTGGGTTTTTTGTTTTGTTTTGTTATGTTTTAAGGGGCTATTTAAGTCACAGAACTATTTCTTACATGGGACCAAACCAAGCGTCATATAAATTAAACAACAAAATAGCAGAGCTCTACACCAAGACTTTGAGTCAAGTATGACTGATACTTACAGAAAATTTCTCATACAGCTGGTAGGTGAGTAGAGGGTTTGGGAGCTCTCGGAAGTACAGCTTACAGAGGGAGCCCACCGAATGGATGTCTTGAACATAAGGTTCCTTCGTCAGGTCGGGGACATGCTCAGAGTCAAATTCATGGCTGACCCAGATGGATGAGGACAAAACAAAATTATGTGACTGAGAAAAGCAAATACATGACTTAAATCCTGAAAGCAACAATATAAAATGTTCACCTCTAATCTCAGTGAGTTACTGTTTYCTTCAAATTAAAATTCATGTTAAGTTATATTTGGATTTCAGCAGTAACCAGATATATTATTATTAGAGAGATATCTATGTGGAAATTAAGGGCATAGCTTTAATATTAAAATGGAAATAATCTCTGGCCCAAAACACTCAACTTTACCTCAGTGAATTGCTATTTTCTTCAAATTATTAAAATTTACATAAGTCCAGTTATATCTGGACTTCAGCAGTAAGTGGATGTATTATCACAAGATAAGCATCTTTCTACACAGAAATTAATGGCATAGCTTTAATATTAAAATGGGCAATGAATGACCTCTGAAATGCATTCAAAAGACTAGCTCTTACAGCACATCAATTTGAAAGCAGGATTCCAAATTTCTGATGGTTTGAATAACTAATACTTTGGCAACTCCGGAATCCAGGGTTGAGTAGCAACTTGTCTACAAACAACTAGATACAGAAACTCCTCAGCTATAAGTAGTATACAGCTCAAGCAGGATAAGAAAGCCAGAAACAATATAAAGCAATTCCTAGCAAATAACAAATTTTAATAGACAGTAAAATCTATAATATTAGAGTGAGTGAAATAAAAGCTGTGCTCTAGGGGCTGGGGTTGTGGCTCAGTGGTAGAGCGCTCGCCTAGCATGTTTGAGGAGCTGGGTTTGATCCTCAGCACCACATAAAAATAAATAAATAAAATAAAGGTATTGTGTCCAACTACAACTAAAAACAAAATATTAAAAAAAGTTGTGCTCTAAATTCTAAGGCAAATTAAATTTAATCTCCAGGAGGTTAATTAATATTAATTCATAGGCATAAAGCTAATTATCATCTGAAGAATTAATGTTTGTGGACAATATAAATATGAAATTTACCGTGTCTGAAATTAAAGAGTAAACAGTCTTCAGTACAAAAACTGATTTAAGTGCTTTCTAACATGTATTCCTAAAAACAAAGATGAGCTCTGTGGTTAATTAAAGTAGTAAAATTCCTACAGAATAGTGGCAGTTACCATGCATCACAGTGAAAAAGAAATAACAGTATATCAAGAATAGCCCAGAATCCAAGAGGTAAGCAAAAATAAAATTTGTATTTTATTTATAGAGGATATCACTACTTTTATCTCATACATAAACATACACTACTGAATTAGGGTCAAAGGAGATTAGAAAAGGTTTCACTCACATCAATTTTAATTAAGAACCAAAGAATAATTTATTATAATGTAAATTTCACGCCCCACTGTTGTTATGAGTTCAGACTCATTTGTTAATAACTGTGAAAAGAAATACACAATACAGTACTGAAGAGGTTAAGGTGCATGGTTCTCTGACACTATAGATAAAGAAATGCCATTTAGCAGAATATGATGCTAAGTGAAGTTAGCCAATCCCCAAACCAAATGCCAAATGTTTTTTCTGATATAAGGAGGCTGATTCATAGTGGGGTTGGGAGGGGAAGCCTGGGAGGAATAGACAAAATCTAGACAGGGGAAAGGAGTGGGAGGTCAAGGGAGAGGGAATGGGGGTATGAGAGACGGTAGAATGAAATGGACATCATTACCCTAAGTACATGTATGAAGACACAAATGGTGTGAATATACTTTGTATATAACCAGAGATATGAAAAATTGTGCTCTATGTGTAATATCTGTAAGGCATTCCACTATCATATGTAACAAATTAGAATAAAAAACTTTTAAAAAAGAGAGAACAATATGGATAAAAAAATATACAGAGAGAACAATATGGATATTATATCCTCTTTTATCTCAACTATCTTACCAAAATTATGATTATCAATGTAAGTTACTCAGTTTTGAAATAATTGCATTTTAATGAGCTAATCAGGAATAAAAATGAAAATGCCATGGACAGTTATTACCGTAGTCTCTGGATATTGGAGGCAACACCAGAAAGACGATATATTCCATCGACAATGCCATATCTCTCAATGAATGCTGTGCAGCTTTGGAGAACCTGGGGAACTAAAGAAAAATTTCATATACACAGATAAAACTGGTAGTATTCCATGGAATGCAAATTACCAAAAATGTCTTATTTTTAATAAGAATAATAAAATTTGTAAATTAATAATAAAAGGGGAGGGAGGATTAATTCACTACAAAAATGATGAGGGCATGTGTACTTAACTTCACACATAAAGTACATTAGTAGTTCCTAAATAATCAAGAYTGACTTGGTTCATAGCTCCACAGGAAACTCTCCAGAGCTTTCTGCAGTGAATTTATCAATTCATGTTACAACAGAAAGGTGAACTATTCAACCCTAACACTATAACTGGTTAAAATAAAAATACAGCTGTTTGGCTGAATTTCATACACAGCAAATGGATATACAAAGTCAAATGCTTATTCCAACAAGTTACTTTTAAGTGCTACAATATTTCACCTCTTAAAAAGATTTATTTCTCATAGTTAATGTTAATTCTAATTTTATTAAATAAGCAAAATATCAACATAATGCAAAGGTCAAAGCAATTGCAAATAGATGTAATCTTCTCACTCCATGCTTATCTTTACACTAAATTTACTTATTTTTTACTTGATATTATCCAGTTTTCATAAAAAGAACTTTAAGGGTAAATAGAAAGAAGAGTACTTTCTGGTTAGCTTAGTGAATATACATATCTGACTATTTTGGGGGTCTCTGGTCTGGAGTAGAACTAAAATTAATAAGAATTTTAGCTAATGTATTTCATTCACGGTACATAAATAAGTAATTCCTTTATTATTACATCACATTTTTCTTTGGTTTTCCTTTTTTTTTTTTGCTGGTCTTTCTTATAGTCTATCTTTTAAATCCTGTCAAATCCTATAAATTGTGTTAAAACTTGAGCTTCTTCTCTTTGATTAAAAAACTAAACAGCAGTTCATAGTGCAAACCACTTCATACTGTTAAGTGGAGAGCCTTTACAATGTACATGCTCTAATTCTCACCAATATCCTATGGCAAAGTCCTATTGTAATTCCCATTTTACAGAAAAGAAACTGCCTCTGTGATGACATTTTTACCCAAGGGCAAACAGGAAATGGTGATGAATTAAGATCCTGACTCAAACAATCCAAGCACAGAGTCAATGCTTTAAACTTAGGGCAATGTAGTGCTTGGCCGGCTTATGCACTGGCGATGAAGAGCAGCAGAACTGCTGGGCATTTTTTTTGTGGACAGACTTTGATGTAAGCAATCTGTGTGTAAATGAAATGTTAAATATAAGTATCTTTATAAGAGCTTGAGTTCTATTTCAGATATTGTTCTATGAATGATAACCTTAGGTTTCTGCCTTAGGTTTCTACTCTATAAACTAGCAGTAGAATAATAAAATTMGGGGTTAAATATTTCCTGTCAGCTACTTTAAATGAAATATAGTTAGAGATTACTGGGATAATTAACATAATTACTTAAAGAAAGATAAAAAACAGAGCTTTAATTATTTTTCTTTAAAAATGCTTCTCTTATGTATGCTCCAAATTAGCACAGGATTTTATTTCCATATTATTAGGCTCTCCTAGCATACATTAAATTTTTTTTTCAAAATAAGCTGCCATTTACAAAAAAGGATCCATTCACTGGATTTCTACATCCACTTGATAGTAGATTCATACCTGCTAATATTCTCCCAAATAAGTAGGAAAACTTTGAAAACATACAGAATAAAAGATTTTTCCCTGGATAATGTGAAAACCCCTATGGACATAATACTTCATGGGAAATGTCTGCATTGCTTCTTTTTATTGGGGATGAGTGTACCAGGGATTGAACTCAGGGGCGATCAACCACTGAGCCATATCCCCAGCCCTATTTTGTATTTTATTTAGAGACGGGGTCTCATTGAGTTGCTTAGCACTTCACTAAATTGCTGAGGCTGGCTTTGAACTCAAGATTCTCCTGTTTTGGCCTCCCGAGCTACTGGGATCACAGGCATGCACCAGTGCACCCCATTCTCTGCTTTGCTTCTTTACATTTCATATTCCTTAACTAAAAGAACTCAACGATTACAAAACAATCACATCAAACTTAATAAATAAAATTGCATGATAACTACTTAAAATTTTAAGCAAGATAAATAATTTAATAGCCATTCCCACCCACAATMATTTAACAAATGAGCCAAATGCACATGAAAAAAATGACCCCAGTCAAAATAGAACATCAGAAACCTCCAAGAGAAAATTTGACTAAAAATTATTCCCATGCATACCAAATAATACAGTTTTGATTTTTTATACAACCACATGACAACTGAATAAGAGGAAATGTTTAAATAAAAACTAGTGATCCTTTTAAGTAGAATTGTGGCTTACAGAAGTAGGAATAAGTATAACAAAAATTGGCCTTTAATTTTTTTTGACAGTCATGGTTTTGTTGTTCTTTTCTCTTCATTCATTCATTCATTCATTCATTCACTAGCTCACTTACCAACTGTCTTCTTACTAAGTCACTTCTGTCTGTTAGGCATCAAGTAGGTTTTGCCAGAACAGATGAAAAAGAACTGTTTTTTTGTGACGGGGTGGCTTCCAGGTTAAGAACACAAAAGGTAGTATAACATAGAATAAGCATCATGATTCTTGGTTAACAAATTATGACTACCTAGAGGATTAACTTTGGGGTGATTTGGGGCTTGTTTCTTTCTACTGTGCTCTGACTATAATATTCTTGCATATATACAATAGTTTAAAAAGGTCTCTTGCTGAAAGGAATGAATAACTTCAAACYGAAACAGACACATACATATGTGCAGGCAAACAGAGTTTCCTCTTCTTTGGTTTTAAAATATCTTTTTTACCAAACCTAACTTTACCTCTTTTCTCCAAAGTTCTATTTTTTTTATTAGCAATCTAATTTCAAACTTTTAAGGAAATCCTGTTTTAATATGTGCAGCAAATAAAACAAGTTCTATGAATAAAAGTCAATAATACTTAAAACTTTGTTCCACTGGAATGGATTCTGTTGTAATTAGGGAATATGCAAACACTGTAGTTAAATCTTTCATTTGTTGAGAAGAAATAAGATATTAGTATCTGTCCTCATTTACAATTCTTATTAAGAGTGGAAACATACATAAAATTTCTAAGGTCCAACTCAAATTTGCTGAATTAATCTCTGAAAGTTAGTGAGCATGGCAGAATAACTTGGAAAATGTGGGCTCATATTAATGATCTCACCTAGGCAAGGTTGCACAACAGCAAAAGATACCAAAAAAAATCAATGTAACAAAAAACCATTTTGATTCTATAATTAAGAATGCCCCATGCAGAAGGCAAATTAATCTAATCTACACATAAAAATACTCTGTGGGCAAAAGTTTTTTAGAAAATTGGTTCTATAGGTAACTGTCATGTAAAATCTTTAATCAGTTTGATTATAAACATTGTGACAAGTGAAACTCTGTGAGATCATTCTGAGTGAAGACTGGCACCAGGTACCACAAATTAAAGAATAAAAAGAAAACTGCCTTGTCAGGCTTGTAGGTGATTTCTTAAAACATCTTTCATTTTATTTTATTTATTTTTTTGGTACTGGGGATTGAACTCAGGAACACTCAACCACTGAGCCACATCCCCAGCCACATCCCCAGCCTATTTTAGTTAGAGACAGGGTCTCACTGAGTTGCTTAGTGCCTCACCCTTGTTGAGGCTGGCTTTGAACTCTCTATTCTCCTGTCTCAGCCTCCTRAACTGCTGGGATTACAGGCATGTGCCACCACACTCAGCTTCTTAAAATATCTTTTGTAGAAGAAACAGGTCAGGTTTGTCTCTTGCTCGAACTGGGAGGTGCTCAAAACTTTAGAAAGTGTAACAAGGTAATCTCACTATAATCATTCACTAGGAACATAATTCAGAGAATGAGTCACTTTAGAAAAATCATTATTCTGAATGTGCTTCCTTTTCAGAAAAATCTGATGAAAAGTCTATCTTGTTTAGGGTAAAGACATCACAAGTCATCTGTAGCTTAACAATAAGGACACATTTTGAGAAATGCAAAGTTAGGTGGTTTCCTTTTTTTTTTTTTTTGCCAACAATAGAGTATACCTAATATACAGATCTAGATGGGACAGCTTACTACACACCTTGGCTATATAATATAGCCTAGCACTCCTTGGCTATAAAGCTGTCCAGCATATTACCACACTGAATACCATACGCAATTGTAGCACAAGGGTGAATACTTATGTGTCTACACAAAAAAAGGTTAAAATATGGTATAAAATGTGCACCTATTAGAGGACACTTACATGCATGGAGCTTACAATACTAGAAATTGCTCTGGGTGAGTCAGTGAGTGAGTGGGGTGAATGTGAAGGCTACAAGCACTAGAGTACACTACTGAAGACTATATATACTGTACCTGAGATTTATAAAAATAAATTTTCTTTCTTTACTAATAAATTGACCTTAGATTAAAGTAACTTTTTACTCTATAAACTTTAAAATTTTTTAACTTTCTCAATTGTACAGTACACTTAGCTAAAAACACAATACACTGCACAACTGTATAAAATATTTCTCTTTATATCCTTATTTTTCCATCTAAAATTTTTTACTTTCACATATTTTTCAGTTTTTAAACTTTCTTGTTAAAAATAAAGACATAAACACATACAGTAGCCTAGGCTAGGCCTCCAAAGGGTCAGGATTATCAACATAACTATCTTCCACTTCCCCATCTTGTCCCACTAGAAGGTGTTCTAGAACAACATCACTCATGGAGTCATCATCTCCTATGATATTGAGGCCTTCTGGAATCCCTCTGGAAGGACCTTCTTGGARCTCTTCTTGAGCAGGCATCATTTTTTCAGAAATATGTTCATATTATTTCCTTGGATTTTTTCCCCCATTATAGTTTTGCTCATAAGTAAATAATGCATGTGAGACTCCTCTTTGTTAATAAAAAACTTTTATTGGGGTCCATGGATTCAATCTTTATAAGGAGTCGGCAAACACTTCTTCTAAATCCTTCATTGTGA